ATTTTAACTAAACTTTTCGAAAATACATTATCAAAGTTTTGGCAAAAAGGTTTCTGTTAAAATTCAAATTTAATGCTTTACTAATTTTTTCTCCATGTAATTTTGATTTTAGGTGAATCAATAATGAGTTATGCTGTCCTTGACAAAAGCACTTTTTAGACGTCAAGGAAGATGAAGTAGGGATGCGTAAGTTTTCGGAATTTTTTATTGAAAGGTTTCCATGTACTGTTTAAATATGTATCTCTGCTAAATAGTTTAAATTAAATATGTGATTGTATATATTAGAAAGAAATTAGTAAAACGCTCTTTTTTGAAGACCTCGAAGCAACTGAACTCCTTAAGTCTAAACTAACTACTTATGTGCTAATGATTGTATAACCAAATAAACCACAATTTTCATAAAGCGTATTATTGTTTGTAGATAACTGTTTTGAATCGGTCTACATTCGATTGATCAAATAAATATATTTTTGAACATGAGAACCTCCCTCACGGTCATCAAATTTCACTTGCATACCCATTATTTTTTTATTAGTTACTTGTTTTATATAGTTGCGACAAGTTCAAAACACCCGAAAGACCGAACGAATAAAAAAACGATTGGTGTCAGTTAAAGGACACCTATTAAAAGGGGAAAGCTACTTTATGTACATGTACACGTATATATTTGTATGAACAAATGTATGTATATTCATACATACATAGAATGATTGGTTTTCTTTCAACCCGCTTTTTGAATACTTAATATGAGTTAATGGTTAGAGAAGGGAACTTTACTGACCACCCTTTGCTAGTTCTTTACTAGCCGTTACTAGCCGTTGGCCGAAAGATAGTATACGACGGCTGGTCATAGACAGTACACGCTTTTATTTTATAAGATCTGCGTCGTGCTTCAAATTATTTCTTGGAAATTTTCAAGTGACTCTGTTTTATAATTTGGTGTCTAACGCATTTACCAAAAGACTGTTTCGCAAAGCTTAATAATTTCGTCAACATCTAAGTAAAAAAAATCCAATAATTATTTCTCGAAGTGTTTAATTTTTAATTTTACTTTTTAGTGAATTATTACAAACATATTTTACATTGCACAATAATTGGGTAACAAAGTTAAATTAAAACAATGCATTTGTTTAATTAATGCGTTTACTTCAGTTCGGATTTTCTATCTAAATTTCCGAGCTAGTTGCAAATCAGTTCATCAGATACATGCACACTATATCCATAAGTAAGCATAGGTCCTATATCATTTAAGAACTAAATTATACTTTATAGAGCTTTTTGAAAATAATTCTAACGATCAAATAACAACGTTGATGGCATTTATAATATATTAAGGTGTAAACTCATTTGAATAATCGTCAATGTACATACATATATGTAGTACTTATGTAGTTGCAATGAGATGAAGTGATTAACAGCAGTCAACCACGACCTGATTGTGTACTGTTCATAATAAAATTATGTCATTGATGAAATCATATTTAATATTCCATATAAATTATTTTGCAAACAATGTTGTCCAATTCAGCTCATTTTTAATGTTTTGCAATGTAAAAAATTCCTTTTACAGATATAATAATAATTTTTACCATAGAACAAGAAAACTAAAATAATTAATGCATTCTCCTCGAAACTGACAATTTCTTTTATATAAAAAGAAAATCTTATTAACCATAATGTCGTTTGGTTAAGAATTATGTGGTATGGTGAAGCTCACATTTTACACCTGTTTCGAAAGCAGTACACTTATCATTTTCAGGATATGAGTGTGGTGTATTAACTGCACCTGCGTTAATGCAGCACATGTCTTTAAATTATATGTAAAC